TTCCTAAACCACACAACATGAGTTTTTGTAGAACAATATCGCCCGAAGAAAAGTTAAGTCTGACTGCGATATTTGGCAAGTGGCAATAGCTTCGCGGACTTGAAATTTCTTACGGCAATAAGTCCTGGAACAATTGCAAAAATTGTTATCGAGACTTGCGAAAAGATAATTACAAATCTTAAAGAGTATATAAAGGTAAAACATAGTACATACATATACATATGTATATTTATATATACATAAATATATTTATTAACAACTCTATATTAAAATATATTTTATTACAGTTGCCGGAAACTAGTACAGACTGGAAAAGGGAAAGTGATCAATTTAATGCGCGTTGGAACTTCCCACATTGTATTGGTGCTATTGATGGGAAGCACATTGGCATTACGAAACCTGTAAAAGATAGCGATTTGTATTTAAATTACAAAAACACGCACTCAATAGTTTTAATGGCAGTTGTAAACGCCAAATATGAATTTTTAATGGTAGATGTGGGCGCAAATGGTAGGGCTGGAGATGCGGGTGTGCTTAAAAAAACCAAATTTTATTCGAAATTGGTTAATAAAGAATTAGATATCCCAGAACCTGAGTGTTTGCCAAACTCAACTGTAAAAGCTCCTTTTGTGTTTGTTGGCGATTCTGCATTTGCACTGAATGAAAATTTATTAAAGCCCTATTCATTTTCAACACTAGACCCACAGGAAATAACATTCAACTACCGAGTCTCAAGAGCTGGGGCAATCGTAGAAAGCACCTTTGGGATATTGGCAAACCGTTTTAGAGTTCTTCACATTAACATCAACTTGTCCCCAGAGAAGGTAACAAAAATAACTTTAGCGTGTTGCTATCTGCATAATTTTATAAAACGACAAAAGCCCAATGAAGATGAAAAGCATACCTTAATAATGAAAAACAATACCTTAACTTCAAATTCTGAATTAGAAGAAAATTTTTCAGGTAAAAGTGATTTCCGAAATATTTTCAAACAGTACTTCAACGGTATTGGCGCTTTACCACCATAACTCATTCTATTGTATTATGTTTCCACTGGTTTAAAATTAATGATGATCGCTTTGAATTTAGCCGTTTTTGATGTTTGAATTTCCGCAAAAAATGCCGATTCTCTTTGATAATACCGGATGAATTCCCAAAAAAATTAATTTATTTTTTGTTTATTTAATTATACCCTTCACCTTCGTGAGAAGGGTATATATAAGTTTGTCATTCCGTTTGTAATTTCTATAATATAATTTTCCGACCCTATAAAGTATATATATTCTGGATCCTTATAGATAGCGGAGTCGATTAAGCCATGTCCGTCTGTCTGTTGAAATCAGTTTTTAGAGGAGCCCAGATATCGGCGAGATCCGAATCTTCAATAATTCTGTTAGACATGCTTTCGAGAAGATCGCTATTTAAAATCAGCAAAATCGGTCCATAAATGACGTATATATAAGCAAAAATCCGAGACAACCTCTGAAAATTTCATTAAAAAAGACAATTTTTTCATGCTTTGATTAATAAGCAACAACAACAACACTGCTTATTCATTGAGTATTTCGTTTCACATGTTTGGATGGCTGTGTGTTTCATTGGCATGTGTATATTGTTTCTGTTTCTTGGTGTATTCAGTTTTGTATGTTTGGATGGCTGTGTGTTTCATTGCCTTGTGTATATTGTTTTTGTTTGTTGGTGTACAGTTTCGTTTGTTGGTTTTACTGCCTTGTGTATTTTGTTTTTTGAGTGTTTATTTCGTTTAGCGTTGTTGTTGTTCATTTTGTTTTGCTATTGCTATAATAATGATATTATCGGGAAAATTAAATAGGTACATAAATTTAAATTTTATAAAATTTATATTTTTTAAATACACTATGGTGAAGGGTATATAAGATTCGGCACAGCCGAATATAGCACTCTTACTTGTTTTTATATATTTTTACTTATCTCTATGTATTTTATTATATCTCGTTTAATATACAAATAAATTAATTAATGATGGTTGTAGGCCTAATAGGGATGCCAGCCAATTAAAATAATTGGCAATGCGCTCGGTGCAGTACCTCCTTGGTGTTGTGGAAAGCTACGCACTGCTATCTATAAGGATTCAGAATATATATACTTTATAGGGTCGGAAAATTATATTTTGGAAATTACAAACGGAATGAAAAAAATAAAAAGTACCAAAAATTGGTACAATTTTATCCCTTAAACGTCCGAATATCCAAAAAGTACTCAATATTTTTATTTTTTCGTTAAGTTATGAAGGAGAAGGTATACAGAGGTGTCACTTTTGACATTTAAAAAAGTCTAAAATCAGCTTTTGTTTGATTTTGAAATTGTTTGGTGAGAAGAGGTATATAAAATACAGCTAAAAAAAATATTGAATTCGTTTTGTGCGAAAGAGAAGGAAATAGTTTTTTGCTCGTGACGCCTCTGTATACCCTGTGGTTTCTCAGTCGTAATTCAGGTCTGAGTTGGGGAACAAATCTCGCGTCATCGCGATTATTTCAGGCTTGTGTTTGTTGCCCGGCTTTCGACAGTTTTGCGTCTCGCTCGCACTGTTTCCAGCTTCCTATATGAAGATATAGGTCGACTTGGAGGATTTCCTTTAAACCAACGTGGGACACCCTGGCATTTTGCTTATGAGCTCAGCCAACAATTCAAATAATAAAAAAAAAAAAAAAAAAAAAATATTACTTTTCTAAGGGCAGTGTCACACGATCAATATATATCGTGATATTTGCTGTATTGTGATATGTATTGAACTTGTAGCATGTAATATTGACGGATCGTGTTCCATATCACAGAAAACCCCAATTTTCTGAAATCCAAAATTCGTATCAATATTTATAATGGATCACGTGATAAATATTGAACGTGTAGCATGTTTTGTGATATCAATCACGATACATTTATAGAATTCGGAAAAATAAATAAAAAAAAACAAAAGTCAAATATTTTTTTAAATGTTAATAAAAAATATAAAAGATAATAAATTTTTTAAAATTTGTATGAATTTGGAGTTTTCGCGGCATTCTTGATATCATCGTACGACCCGTGTAGCACGAAATAATGAAAATACTGACGCGATAAATATTGAACGTGTAGCATTTTTCCGAATTTTACAAATGTATCGTGATTGATATCACAAAACATTCTACACGTTCAATATTTATCACGTGATCCATTATAAATATTGATACAAATTTTGGATTTCAGAAAATTGGGGTTTTCTGTGATATGGAACACGATCCGTCAATATTACATGCTACACGTTCAATACATATCACAATACAGCAAATATCACGATATATATTGAACGTGGGACACTGCCCTAAAATTAAAAAAATTTAGAAAAAATTTAAATATACATTTAAAACAATAATAATATTGATAAAACAAATCAAAAAATTACTATTTATTTAAAATATTATGTTTTTGTTTTTCCGAATTGATTATTTTATTGTTTTTGTTGATTGTGTTTTCTCACTTATAACTTAGGTTTAATTGGCCAATAACACTGAGTTAAACTAAGATAATAAGTAATGTAACTGATTACTGAAAACACAAAATATAGGTTAAACTATAGATAATTGGTATATATATATAGGTATATATCTTCCAGACGATTATCTTAAGATATCTTCTTATTACCACCATGCTGTTTAACTAGCAATGTTTCTTTTTTATCTTCTATTGCTTGTAGGTATCTCCCTGGCCGCACAATCTCTCCCGAAGGAGGTATCTCCCGCAATACGAATATGATTGTTGCCGCAATAATTTTTTTCTTAGACAAATATTTATTATACTAAACGTCAAATTGTTCTCGTGATACAAAATTAGCAGGTATAGACAGCATTTATTGGCGTTATAGCGTCGTTATGACAGTGTTGTCTTGATAACAAACGTCATTGTATTGTAAAATTAGTATAGAATTTTGTTTTTGTGCAATTAAAATTGAAATTAGTATTTATTTACAAAATTTGCCTTTAATTTCAATTGTTTCTGTAAAATACAGCATTATTTCAGTAAAATTATCTGTGAGTTGTCGTGATAAAATCAGCATTTTGTTACTCCTATGCATTAACATAAACAGAAAACTGAAAATTTTTCTGCCGACGTTTTGTCAAGTGCTGTGATAAATATTTGTCTAATATAGACACGGGAAAGAGTGTCGTATTCGGCTATGCCGAATCTTATATACGCATCAGCAAAACATTAGATTAATATGAACGTTAGCGTGATTTTCGAAATAGGGACTTCAATGAGGGATTGGGTCAATTATGAACCAAGATCTCCATAATTTAAAGTATTTTTTTAGATGAAAAGTTACACTCATTTGAATAAAACCCTGTATGACCAAAATGTCCAACTTTTCCCCACCTGACTCCGGCAGTTCTTAACCGATAGAGCTGAAAATTTGTGTATCTACTATCCCATAGTACTAACCTTGGTACAAATTTCATCCAAATCGGAAGACATCGATTTTTAAAGTTGGGTCACTTGACAACAAATTCCCCATATACAAACTCGTTTATAACGAAATCCCGGACCAGTCAAATTTGTTCGTTATACGCGAAGTTCGTAATAACACGGGTGAAGTTTTTGTAGTTCCAAAAATAAAGTGAAATTTTACGAAATTAAAAGAATATGATTTATAAATTTATTTAATATTCTTAAAAAAAATATTAATGTTATTTGTTCATATAATTCATAATAAATTGAAGTTTTTTTTTTTCCAACAAAGCTATTTTCTTCTGATTTCAACACATAATTTTGAAGTTCGTTATAAAAAGTTAAAATTGTATGAAATTGTACTAGAGGGACTGAAAAAGTAGTTTGTTTTATACGAGGATTCGTAATAATAGAGTTCGTTATAAGAGATGTTTTCTGTATAAAAATAGTTATCAAAATATAGGGACTTGAAAAATTGTTCGTAATAACCGAGAGTTCGTTATAACCGAGTTCGTTATAAGCGTGTTTGACTGTATATATTCCGATTTATAAAATAATATATTTGGTTTACTTTTTTGATTGGTTATTTTTTAAAGAAAACATTTACATACATATATTACGACTAATAAAATAATTCTATATTTAAAAATACATTCATACAAGCATAACTAAAGTGAATTAATCAATCAGTACAAATAAACACCAAAAACAGTGGTAACACAAAAGAGACTAGTATTTGTAAAAACATCAGATGTTTGAGAATCTGATTCAGCGTCCCAACAACATTTACAATAGTAGTGACATCCTGCACCAAGTTGTTGACCCAACATAACCTGCACAACGTATTTATAGCGAGGCATAATTAGACGATCTTTAATTGCTGCATTAATGCTATCGGCAATATCTCTTGTCCAATGTTTCACATCATCCGGGTTGTATGTTTTTCCTATGCATGAATTATATTAATTGTTTAGGCACACAAGTAAGCAATCTACTTACCCTGTAACTTTTCCTGCATAATTTCTCGTATAATTTCCTTAATTCGGCTTCCTTTAAATGTTTCACCCAATGATGGACGCATTTTGTAGGATGTGATATTTGTGCCTGTTTTCTCATTATCCTCCTGTTTATGTGCTGTTTCTTCGTGACCCATTTTAAGTTTATTTTTTAATTAAATTTGTTTAAAATTATTAAAAATAAAGTTATTTTTTCACAGCTACAACATTTGTTTATTGTTGTCATGGATTGTTTTTGTTTTGTTTGCGGCAAAAAACGTCGAATTAGTGTTGTAAAGTACTAAAAATGCAATGTTATTTTAGCATGCCAGACTTTAAAATTTTGAAACATAAACAATTAAGTTGGATACAGCAAATCTTTGAAATATGTTCATCCTAACAACATTGTGTTGTGAATGTTTGCTAAATTTTTGAATTTCACAGAAAATGTTATTTTTATAAAAATTCGAATTAAATTAACTTATGGACAGTTTAAAATATTTTACACATTTTTTCATTGAGTATTTATTTTCTATGAAAGTTAAGAATTTTTGACAAAAAAATTCTAGTAATATTTTTTTTGTATAATTAAAATTTTTAATTTGGAATTTTAGACAAAAAAATTTATCAAAATGTTTGAAATTTTTTTCTAGTATCTAGATTTATACGAAAAATATTTTTTTGTATATATTAAACTTTTTAAGGGGAAAAATAATATTTTAATACCATATGTTAAGTTTGATTTTTTATTAAAGATATTAATTTTTGGTGAAAGTACTTAATAATCTGTTTGTTTCAAACAAACATTTAATTCGTCCATAATTTTAGCTATTTGGCAAAACTTATAAATTATAAATTTTTTTAATATTTGACTAATTTATTACAAGTTTTTTATACCCTCCACCACCATCAGTGGTGATAGAGGGTATATATAACTTTGTCATTCCGTGTGTAACACCAAGAAATATTCATCTGAGACCCAACAAAGTATATATATTCTGGGTCCTTATCAAATTCTGAGTCGATTTAGCTATGTCCGTCTGTCCGTCTGTCTGTGTAAAACACGCTCACGATAAAACGAAGCAATAGAGCTTAACCAAATTCACCCAAAATGTTCTTCATTTTCCTAAGTTGTTTGGTATTGCAAATGGGCAAAATCGGTTCACCCCGGGAAAAGTTATGAATCAAAATTTAAAACAACCTCGGAAAAAAATAAGCATTTTTTACACATTCTGATGTAGTTTTCTCGAAAACTATGCAAGATAATTCCATGGAAATCACCATACGTTCGTTTCTGCACAAGATCTTGATCCCATTCGTATAATTTCCTTAATTCGGCTTCCTTTAAATGTTTCACCCAATGATGGACGCATTTTGTAGGATGTGATATTTGTGCCTGTTTTCTCATTATCCTCCTGTTTATGTGCTGTTTCTTCGTGACCCATTTTAAGTTTATTTTTTAATTAAATTTGTTTAAAATTATTAAAAATAAAGTTATTTTTTCACAGCTACAACATTTGTTTATTGTTGTCATGGATTGTTTTTGTTTTGTTTGCGGCAAAAAACGTCGAATTAGTGTTGTAAAGTACTAAAAATGCAATGTTATTTTAGCATGCCAGACTTTAAAATTTTGAAACATAAACAATTAAGTTGGATACAGCAAATCTTTGAAATATGTTCATCCTAACAACATTGTGTTGTGAATGTTTGCTAAATTTTTGAATTTCACAGAAAATGTTATTTTTATAAAAATTCGAATTAAATTAACTTATGGACAGTTTAAAATATTTTACACATTTTTTCATTGAGTATTTATTTTCTATGAAAGTTAAGAATTTTTGACAAAAAAATTCTAGTAATATTTTTTTTGTATAATTAAAATTTTTAATTTGGAATTTTAGACAAAAAAATTTATCAAAATGTTTGAAATTTTTTTCTAGTATCTAGATTTATACGAAAAATATTTTTTTGTATATATTAAACTTTTTAAGGGGAAAAATAATATTTTAATACCATATGTTAAGTTTGATTTTTTATTAAAGATATTAATTTTTGGTGAAAGTACTTAATAATCTGTTTGTTTCAAACAAACATTTAATTCGTCCATAATTTTAGCTATTTGGCAAAACTTATAAATTATAAATTTTTTTAATATTTGACTAATTTATTACAAGTTTTTTATACCCTCCACCACCATCAGTGGTGATAGAGGGTATATATAACTTTGTCATTCCGTGTGTAACACCAAGAAATATTCATCTGAGACCCAACAAAGTATATATATTCTGGGTCCTTATCAAATTCTGAGTCGATTTAGCTATGTCCGTCTGTCCGTCTGTCTGTGTAAAACACGCTCACGATAAAACGAAGCAATAGAGCTTAACCAAATTCACCCAAAATGTTCTTCATTTTCCTAAGTTGTTTGGTATTGCAAATGGGCAAAATCGGTTCACCCCGGGAAAAGTTATGAATCAAAATTTAAAACAACCTCGGAAAAAAATAAGCATTTTTTACACATTCTGATGTAGTTTTCTCGAAAACTATGCAAGATAATTCCATGGAAATCACCATACGTTCGTTTCTGCACAAGATCTTGATCCCTGCTGAAAATTGCCAGAATCGGTCCACAATTTCATATACCTCCCATACAAAAGTACATATTCCCGGAAAATGGGTTTTTTGTTAATAACTTCCGCCACAATGTCGATATCTTCACAAACTTTTACAAATTAAAATCTTATGTCAATAGAATTCTTTCAGAGGAAAATTTTTTTGGATCGGTCCATAATTGGACATAGGTCCCATACAAGGTCCCCTCCCGAAAATCACTTAAACGCGCATAACTCATTACTTAATTAAGATATCCAAATAAAATTTGGCATAAGTATTGCCCATATGCATAGAAATATTACTGTGAATTTTTTTTCCGATCGGTCCATAATTGGTCATAGCTCCCATACAAGGTCCCCTCCCGAAAATCACTTAAACGCGCTTAACTCATAACTAAATTAAGATATCCATATAAAATTTGGTACAAATATTACTCATATGCACAGAAATATTGCTGTGAAATTTTTTTCCGATCGGTCCATAATTGATCGTAGCTCCCATACAAGGTCCCCTCCCGAAAATCACTTAAACGCGCATAACTCATTACTAAATTCAGATATCCAAATAAAATTTGGTGTAAGTATTGCCCATATGCATAGAAATATTACTGTGAAAGTTTTTTCCGATCGGTCCATAATTGGTCATAGCTCCCATACAAGGTCCCCTCCCGAAAATCACTTAAACGCGCATAACTCAGTACTAAATTAAGATATCCATATAAAATTTGGTACAAATATTACTCATATGCACAGAAATTTTGTTGTGAAAGTTTTTTCCGATCGGTCCATAATTGATCATAGCTCCCATACAAGGTCCCCTCCCGAAAATCACTTAAACGCGCATAACTCATTACTAAATTAAGATATCCAAATAGAATTTGGTATAAGTATTGCCGATATGCATAGAAATATTACTGTGAAATTTTTTTCCGATCGGTCCATAATTGGTCATAGCTCCCATACAAGGTCCCCTCCCGAAAATCACTTAAACGAGCTTAACTCATAACTAAATTAAGATGTCCATATAAAATTTGGTACAAATATTACTCATATGCACAGAAATATTGTTGTGAAATTTTTTTCCGATCGGTCCATAATTGATCAAAGCTCCCATACAAGGTCCCCTCCCGAAAATCACTTAAACGCGCATAACTCATTACTAAATTACGATATCCAAATAAAATTTGGTGTAAGTATTGCCCATATGCATAGAAACATTACTGTGAGAGTTTTTTTCGATCGGTCCATAATTGGTCATAGCTCCCATACAAGGTCCCCTCCCGAAAATCACTTAAACGCGCATAACTCAGTACTAAATTAAGATATCCAAATAAAATTTGGTGTAAGTATTGCCCATATGCATAGAAACATTACTGTGAGAGTTTTTTTCGATCGGTCCATAATTGATCATAGCTCCCATACAAGGTCCCTTTCAGAAAAACACTTAAAGGCACATAACTCATTACCAAATAATGATATAAATAAATACTATTTTTGTTCATAAATACTATTTTGTAATGCAAAAAGCACTTAATGCTATTTCAAAAAATTTTCACGATCGGTCTATGTTTGGTCATATCTCTCACACTAGGTCCTGCCCCTAAAAGCGCTTTAACCGTATTTAACTATTTGCATTATCAATTTGTGTAGAACAAAATTATATATATATGTATCTATTTTTAAAATCCTTAAATCTTTCACACACATGCAATACGAGATATTGCTAAAGCATATCTTAGGGCGCTATAAAAATTTAAATGAAAGTGTCATTTCTAATGTCCAATAAATCTTGGAATTGTAGTAGATTTAAGCTGTTTAAATCTTGGGATTTTTCTATTTAAGACATGAGAAAACTTATTTCTACAAATATTTTATTAATTAGAAATGTATTAATACAAAAGTTGCTGGTGGAGGGTATTTAAGATTCGGCTCAGCCGAATATAGCACTCTAACTTGTTAATTTTTTCGGCCACCAAATAAAATACTCTTTATAAACATCGTCTCATAATTTTCAACGACGAATTTAAGCCGCCGATGACATTACCATAGTCAGTCGTCGCCGTGAAATTCGATCGACACAGTGTCTTGCATTACGAGAGCAGAAAATATTTAATTTAGCCATGAAAACATAATTTTTTGTGGTATTACATATTATATTTATAAAATATAACATTTAAGGAATATTTTAAAATAAAAATACTTGCAAATTGACAAGGATTTTCGTGGAAAACAAAAGTTTTCAGTTCTCAAAACGGACGACGCTAAGGCAAAGAATAAGGCGAATAAAAGAGAAACAGTGTTTTTTTCATTGTTTACTTTGTCCTCTAAATTCGTTGCTGCTGGTACGATTTTTCTTTCGACAATTACAATTAGTCCAGCATACCGGGTGCACTTTTAGTTTTAGAAGATAATAACCATAAAATAATGTCGTGTACATTGCAATAAATCTCGTAAAGATGTAATAATGCTTATTTTCGGTGAAAACTTTATTTTAATGTGTAATATTGCAGCGAACGCAACTAAATAATAATAAACAAATATGTCTAGTTCGGTGTTCATTGAGAGCAGCTCACAGGCTGCGGATGCCAGTAATTATGCTAGCACCTCAGACTCAAATTTGGTGGTGGTATATGGTAAGAATGGCATAAGTTTCGATGACAAGGGCTTGGAAAATCTTATTGGTATGTTGAATGTAAAAATATTAAATAAATCAATAATAAACGTGTTTTTCCATTAATGCTTCAACAGAGGAGAAGAAAATTTCATCAATTAGTGTTATACGCTTGACTTCACCAACGCCAAGCATGCAAGATGAGGAGGATGAAGCCGAAAAATTAGAGGAAATGCTTAGAAGGCAAGAACTTGGTTCGGCTGAGGAGAGTTTTGGTTCTGAAGAAGAGGCTAACAGTTCTTCAGGCGATGATAAAAATGATACGGCGGGAAATGGTGATTCCTCGAATGATGATGACAATGGGGAGCGTAAAGCCTATAATGAGTCCGATAATGAATCGAGTGAGGAAAATAAAACTAAACAAAGAAAACAACCGCGTCGCCGTGGTCGTCAGCCAAATATTGTAAAACAGAAGAAAACCGCACGTAGACGAAAACGGGAACGTCCGGAAATTGTAGGTTTGCGTTTAGAAGAATTTTATCCTCCAGAGGATGCCAACGAAATTATCAAAGAAGCTTTGAGTAAGCATAGAGTAGTAATATATAAATAATAGCTAGACTTACACTGTTATTATTATGTTTTTTTATTTTTTAGAAATGGCCGGCTTGCAATCAGATAAGAAAAGTAAAAGTGATTATGATTTTCAACTTTTCGTCATACAAAACGATCATTGTTATACACCTTTTACATCTCCTACGCAAATGAAAGCGAAATTAGCTGCCGATAAATTGGAAGCTGAAAAACAAGCAGCTAGTCGCAAGGTGGGTGTTTTGCAGCCAACTGCTGGCAAACAGTTATTTGTGCGAAAGAAACAAACCCAACAAAATCTTCATGCGAAAACGGAAAATTTATTAAAATCAAATGTTGCCTCTGGCAATTTAACGAAAGATAAAGGATTGGCTGCAAGCCATAAATTTAAAAAAGATACCAAGGATAGACAGAAACCAACAGCTGACGAAGATTTTGCTGATGACGATGAGGCTAATCGAACCTCATTTGAGGAAAATGATGCTGAAGCAGGTGGTGTGGATGATGAAAGTGATTTAAGTGGCTCAGAAGAATCAGCTGAAACTGATAATGATCGTGATAGCGACTTAGATTTTGATGTTAATAATCCTAAAGGACGCAAACGTAAAGTAAAACTTTTAAAAACTCAAAAACGTGTTTTGAGTGTGGGTAAAGTAAATCAAAAATCAAGACGCTTTTGTAGTCAAGATGAGCCCGCAGAATTACCCAATAAAACAACTATTTCTTCGTCTCTACCCACCTGTAGTCCTTCGACCTTAGCACAGCGTCAGAAATCAATAGTAAAAATTATATCGGATCCTGGTCGCATTACTGTTCGTTCTACACCTTCAAAGGTTGTACACTTAATGGGATCAAATACCCATAATACTTTGTCTCCTGCTATAGCAGCA